ATCGAGATAGATTCTTCGTGAGGGTTGACCTACATCATCTATGTCATTGAATTCGCTGAATTCATCTTGAGCATGTGCCAGTAGGTCATTGATCTTCGATGCATGATGGCATTCATGAGGAGTGCACTCGTATGTTCCAAGATCAACATAGGGGATGTTGTCATGGATTGTCAGGTCGATGCGTTCTCCATCCTTCGTAATCATGAAAGGCATTTGACCAGATGGCCATACAAAGGAGTATCCTTCTTCCATGCATCGTTTCCCAAGAGACATCACAGATGGAGTGTCGTCCAATACATAAGCATGGGATGTCACATCAAAGGTTCCCAGGTCAATCTCCGCTTCTGTTTGAGTAGCAGTTGAACCGTTGGCGGTGTGGAACATGATCGGATCACAAGTTCGTTGCTTCAAGTTCATCCTTTCGGCTTTCCTTGCGGAGATCAAGTCGTGTCCGCTGCCAGAATCCAGGATGAATCTACGATCTTTGGCTTGTACTGGTAATGAAATGCACATCATATTCTTGGACGTCATGAGGGATTTTCCAACTTCATGCTCAACAAGCTCTTCAACAAAAGTCAAGTCATCGTGATCATCGTCCAGTTTGATCAACATGTCGAACTTGGGGCCAATGATGATTCTAACTTCATCAACGAAACGATGGAGTCCACATCTATCCATGATGATAGCCTTGGCCCGTGCTCGGACTAAACCGAGGGTGTTGTCGGACTTGGACTGATCATCGGTCAAATCATCGATCTTCCAGAAGACATATTGCTTGTTGGGATCACGATAAGTACGCTTTGGTAATCCCTCCTGGTAGTTCTCAGTGACAATCTCGTGCACTTCAGGTTCCAGTTCAAATGAGATCCTGCGAACATCAGAAGACTTCTTTGCGCTGGCTATCCTCGGTGAGGTATAATCCATGGCGTCTTCATTGTCGCTATCAAAGAAGGAATCAATGGTAATGGGAGTCGCTTTCTTCTTTGGCGTCTTCTTGTTGGTCTTTTCTGATGATGCTGAAGGCGATTGTTCTGCATGTAGGAATTTACATTTGTTTCCGAATGTGCAGGTACCCTTTTGCCAATTCCAACATATCTTCTTTTTGGATCCAACCGAAGATGAACTTCCTCTACTTTTCCCTCTTGGTGAATCTCGACTTCCGCTTCTACCTTTCTTACCTTTCATCTTGGCATCATAGACTTTCTGAGAATGACTGTAAAGACACTTGTCACCTTTGTTGCATCCTCCCTTATTGAAGAAGTAATTGCAGAAAATCTTCTTCTTGTCAACGGGTGAAGATGATCTCCCCTTCCCACCTTTGCCTTTCTTGTTGTTCTTGTCGGCATGGGATTTCGGAGAAGGTGTTGGGAGTACTGATGCAGCTTCACTCTTCGCCTTTGCTTTAGGTCGCTTGGGAGGATCACCTGTAGACGATGCAGCTGCTTCATTCTCCTTCTTGGTCTTGATGGGAGCAGCAGGCTTGTCCGCATCTTCCAGAGCAGGTGTTGTCTTGTTAGAGGACAATGACAGTTTCACTGCACGTTCTCTATCTTTCAACAGTCGTTCTTGCTTTCCTCGTGCTATGTATCCTTTGATCATACCGGTCAGGGATGCATAAGTCTTTTCAGGATGCCCTTCATCATAGGTACGGTATCGGCTGATATCAAAAGACATAAGTTTTGAATGTTCAATCTTCCGGAACAATGTGTCACGCAGGGAATTTGCAGAAGGCAGATCATCATGTTTCATGTTGTATATGATATCAAGCCACTTGTTGTAGAAGGCCTCAAGTTGGTCATCTCCATAGTAGTTGAACATGTATAAATGATGGGCGTTGTAGAGAACTTCAGTATGGTCAGGTGACTTGAAGCTAATCAATACCATTGCGAATAGTTCTCGTCCCTTGATGAAGTCCCCACTCCTCCCATACATTTGGTTCTTCATGGACATGTCATACTTCACTTGCATGGACTTGTCCCCAGCATTGTCAATGACTTTCCTCAAGGCATTGGAGAGCTTGGCATCAATGGATTGGAATCTCACATCGGGTGCTTTGGCCAGAGCCTCTAAGTCAGGTTGATCTGCAAGACACGGAGCTAGCCACGCTTTCCAATCTTCATAGTTTCGATCTCCACTTGCAACGCAAACTTCATGAACGACACTTCCCTTCCAGGATGAAAGTTCAGTGGTCTTGGGCCAAGGTTGGAGATTGATCTTTTCGGCTTCCCTTAGGGATACGGACGACTTAGATCTATCCTTCTCAAGGTTCTCCAACTCCTTGACATTGGTGTTGTACTCGTTCCTGAGCTTCTCGAAGGCTTCAGCTTCTGCTCGGTATTCCTGCTCTTCATCGTTGGCACGATCTTCAGCTTGAGAGAAGTTGTTCTTATAGTAATCTTTCCGATCTTCCATCTTCCTTAAGTCATCTTGAAGATTTCGAACTTCAGCGTTCCTCTCTTGCTTCATCTCGTCCAACTCTGCTTTCAGTTTGGCGCACTTCTCTTCACAATCATTTCGAGGCATAGCATTGCTGGGGTACCCAAGTAACGCAGCCGGTTTGTTCGATGATGAAGACGAAGCAGCTTGGTTTTCTAGCCTCAGGGCAGCAATGGTGCTCGACATCTCTTCTACTTCGGCGAAACGTTCACTAGCCAATTGGTGCATCTCGGTCAAGTGGCTTTCAGGAATGGAATAGTCAGTCGCTCCTTTGATCACGAGTCTTCTATCGTTCAACATCTTGATGGACTGGCCTGCATCCCTGTGAGCACGCTCAAGAGAATCCTTTTGGGCTTCAATTTCAGTATGAAGGCGAGCAATGGCTGTATCCCTGTCATTGATTTCATTGTGCAAACTGTCGAACAAGTTACTCGTCACATTCGGATTGTTACTCATGTGATCGATCTTGTCCAGAGCATCTTGGTATTTCTTACCAGTTTCATCGAAATGTTTCTGAAAGGTCTTGAGCAGGTTCTCAGTGTCAATGAGTTCAGTTCTGTTTTGCAAGTACAACTTGTCAACTTCAGCCTTGGATTCCTTTAAGCTGTCACGTTCACGTACAGCTTGCATGTACATTTCATGTAGTAATCCTCCATGCGGTGATCTGCTTGGCGAGGATCTTCTGGCTTGTTGACAGGAAAGTTCATGATACTGATTCTTCGATTCAGTCAGTTGATGTCGCATTCGATCTAAAAGGCTTTGTTTCATGTGTAGTTCCGAACGTAGTCCCATTATCCTCATGTCCCGCATGCCACTTGATTCAGCTAGAGATTCTTCCGAAACCTTGCTCTCAGAAGTCACTAGTCGAGATTGTAAGTTCTCATTGTGAATCACCTGCAATCGAAGTTGTGATTCCTCCAAAGCTAAATGATGTTCACATTCTGCATAACGGTCATGTTCAGATCTTATGTTACTACGGAACTCCTTCATGATCTCGTCCCTCTTCATGTCAGCAGCATCGAGCTCAGTTTCCAGTCGTCTAACATTCATGGACATGGTGTGCTTCATAGTCTGGTTCTGATTGGCAACCTCGAGCATCTCGATCTGTAAAGCACATGTCTGGTCGTTAGCATATCCGACCGCCAGAGCTTCTTGCTTTGCGTTCATCTCTGCGTTTTCTAATTCCAGTCTGAGTTGATTGATGTGAGCATTCGCATCAGCGCCCACATGTACCATAATTGCGTTCGCTTGTCCCATTTGTTCATTGAATTCCGAACGTAGTTGCGAATATCTAAATTCCAAATGAGATGCAGCTTCATTCGACATAGTCTGATACCTCTCCAACTCTTCGATCCTGTAGGTTGCACCTTCATCTTCTTGTTGTGCAGCCTGTAACTCAAAGTTCAGCATCTGGAGTTGTTCAGTCATCGACATCATCTCTTGATGAGTGGTGCTTTCCAGGAAATTAAATTGTTGATAGGCATATGCAGCCGTCTCAGTCAATCTTGCCTGAAGTACGGATTCTTCTTCAGTAGCCTTTTCCAGTGATGTCTTGTATTCAGTTAATTCGCTCTGATAGGCAGTGAAGATGTCGCTACCACTTGACGGGGCATTCACTTGTTGATAAGATCCTATCCCTGATGGTGTAGCGTCCTGAATCGGTGAAGGCGGATTCGATGAGGTAGGCCTTGCCTTAGTCCTTGGAGTCATCGGAGGCGACGATTGTCGGGTAGATGATCTTCTCTTTCCAGGTGTGCCGTCCCTATCTTCAATTGCTTGCATTGTCGAAATTTGTCTCCCTCTAGGAGCAACCAGAGGTCGTCTGGGTAGGCTTGGTCTCAGTTCTGAGGTTTCGCTTCCACCAGTGTCGATACTCTGTGAAGAATTTGACTGCGTGCCGGCAGCTGGTGCAACGGCATGTCCAGAGAAAGAAAATGCGTTATCGCTGCTATCCTGTTCAGTCATCTGTAAGGTCCGCGGCTACCCGCTCGTAGGCTCCGTAGGAGTCCTACGGCTGATAACCTGTGAATCGGAGGTTCTTTCTCCGATATGTCCTTTTGGTGGGTATTGTGTTACTCAGTCTTCACACACACGACGACGACAGGATTGCAACTTCGGCATGTAAGTCCTTTTCACGGGAACCTGCAGTTTGGGTGACTTGAGCCAAAGGGAGCAACGAATGTGTCCCCTTGGCAGTGGAAATGTAAGGACTATGTACGTGGGAACATATTCATGTCGTAGCCTAGTTCCCATTCGCAATATATACATGTGTTTAAAGATAGTTATATACATATATATATATATGTATACATATATATGTATACATATATATATACATATATATATACATATATATATACATATGTATATATATATATACATATGTATATATATATGTATATTATATAGATATTTGTTACTGTGAATGTGTGATGTATAAGATACAAGCTTGAATCTTCAGGAACCTCTTAAGTGAGCTTCCTCACCGTCTGCCTTTCGCACTAAAAAGACGACGGCGTTTCGGTTTTTCATGTTTTTTCGGCGTTTAAGTGCGGCTGAGTTTCTCTGTCACCATTCATCCAATGAAAACCAGCAGGTAAGAAATTCAAGCCAGGAACCAGCTCCGCGACGCGTGTAACAGCTCCGTCTGGGCCAAAGAGTTTTTGCAAACTGTAGCCTCGGGCACGTTCTGCTGCCACATCATCACCCGAATGGCGGTGAATGGCCACGATTCCATCACTGACCAATGGGATGTGCTCCAATGCTTTTGTCACATAACCATGCCTTCCAATGGGATCTCGTTCTCGTGCACGCTGCAAAGATTCATCATCCTCTCCAGCTTGGTGCACTGTTTGCATGATGGAATTGATCACTGGCACATACTCCAAAGAATGCACTAGGATGCCATCTCGTCCCAAGGGATCAGACTTTCTCGCCCTTTCCAAGGCTTCTTGGTTGCCTGCCAACTCATGTAAAAGCTGTATGCCACTGGAGACCAAGGGAATGTGCTCTCCAAATCTGGCCAGAGCCCCATCGGAACTCACCAAGGTATCCGTGTCTTCCCCAAAATTCTCGTACATTTCAGGCTCAAAGTGATCAAAACTCACCGAGTGGGGGAACAAACTCTCCAGGGCAAGCGTTTCTCTGCTTGCCGACATTCCGGGTTCAGGGCTCCATGGCTGCACCATGGTTCAGGTCCTTTTAGGCTATCGATGAGTATCATGTAAGGTATACGTTGTGTATACGTTCAGCTGGGGATCCCGGGGATGGGGACACAAAAGGCGACCTTTTTTTGCTGCTCACTTTGCATCCGTTGTGCAAGTCGTGTCTCAACTCTTGAGCACCCAGGGCATCAAACAGGACAAGATGATGTCAAAATCAATGGATTGGATTTGGGGAAAATCTTAACCGGAAACCATGGTATTTTTACCATCAAATTGATCGGGGTGTCCGGTTAAAATTTTCCCATCATCCAATTCTGTGTCAAAAATCCGCAGGTGGCAAAAGTCTATGGACCCAATGGGAGGTTAGTGACCAAAATTCTCGGGTCTGAATGGATCTGGCATTTGGTTGTGTCTAAAAATGGGGCAAAATCCTTTTTTACGGCGGTTCTTCGTGAGGAAAAGATTGAATATCAACATATATATATATATATACATATATAAGTTTAATGATGATTTATGATGATTTTTCCCGAACTCTTTACTTTTTTGACCCGTCCGCCATGGCTCGCCATGGCGAGCCCTGCGGCGAGACCCATGCCAGGCGGACCAAGGGACCATCCGTGTCGGCGCCCCGATAGACCTATGCTGGGGATGGTGACTGAATGGCGAAATAACAAAGATATATATATATACACACACACAACATCTCGTATAATATACAATGATACTATTTTTTTAATGAACTTAATGCTGCTTAGGATATTGGTTCTTGTATCAAGCTCGTGAAGAGGGGTCAATATGGTGATTTCATGAGGATGCTTGTGGTGATGTACTAGCAAGGTACAATCCCACGATCATGTTGAATACCCTTCAATCCTAGGGATAGGTGAGTAGATCCAATACTAAACCATGATTTTGGGAATATTTCATAGTAGCGGGATAGGTTGTTTGGATGTGTCTCTACTGACTTGAAACCTTCTTAGCAGTGAAACTATATCATGAAGTATCAAATCATTGCGAATGAATGCTGAATACTGGTTGGTGGTATACCTACCCCTCTGAAAAATATGAGTTCGTCAGTTGGGATGATTCTTCCCTATATGGAAAAATAAAACATGCGTTCATTTTGAATTGCGTCCCACCCTCCCACCAGTTGCAAGTGTGCATCTTCTTTTGCTTGGTGTCGAAGCTCAGTTTGAGCTGCATCCTTCATTGACTATGTCATTTTTGGGTCACAACAAATTTTGTGACTCCATCTGTAAGAAGTCTGCCAGGTTGTGCCCCTCGTCCAACTTTTGTGGGTGGGACTAAAAGGGATGGGAAAACAAAAGTTGTATCTGGCCTATGTTTGGGCCAGACTCCAACAGTCAAGTCCCTCCCTCCACCCTTTTCTGAATTCACTTTATGTTTGTCACAGCATGTTGCTGTTCTCAAACATGCGTTCATTTTGAATTGCGTCCCACCCTCCCACCAGTTGCAAGTGTGCATCTTCTTTTGCTTGGTGTCGAAGCTCAGTTTGAGCTGCATCCTTCATTGACTATGTCATTTTTGGGTCACAACAAATTT